CTGAAAACCCCATCACAATGCAAAACATAGTTGCAGGTACAACAGGTGGTGTTACCTCAATGGTCGGAAGATATAGAGGATTCATTGCCCATCTAGAAAGTGTTCTCCCCTCTGCTCATACAATTCACTGTGTGATTCACTGAGAGCACCTAGTGGCTAAGAATGTGGAAAGGGCGCTTAAACGATACAGTGTCAACATTTATTATAGTAGTTAACAATATTAATCCGCATCCCTTATAAGATTGTTTTTCCAGCAGTTGTGTGAGGAGAGCAGTGAAGATTTTCAGGTCCTACTTTTACATACAGAAGTTAAATGGCACTCTAAGGGCAACTATATTCGCCGATTTATTGCACTCTGGGACACCCCGTCATCACATTCCTTTCTAAAACTGATTATGAAAAAAGCTGTGTACAGTGAAGTCAGATGTGTTTTATCTGGCTGATGATTTCGAAAAACTCCACTTATTCTTCAAGGCAAGTTGAGTAACATCATCTCGAGCAAACATCCCAGTATTGCATTCCTTAAAATCTGGAAGTATATGCTCAGAACATCGGAAGTCGGGAATTTTTACCGTTCCCAATTGATTGTTTATGTAAGTCATATAAAGAACTCCGAAAAGAAATGAAAGACGGGTCTCATGATCCGATTTACATGGAAATCCAGATTTGGATTTTGGATCCATTTGGTGTACAGCCGTGCGAAGTTGGGGCTGAAATCCTGGAAAGTCTCATAGAGCTTAAGTAATAAGACACTAGTAAGATCCAAATTCACGCTATATAAGAGGGATTTTTGGATATACTTATGCCCCAGACTGCGGGAAATAGCCGAAATATATTTCCATCCACATACATAGTTGCATGTCGATTCAGCAACCGGTTTCTCTGACAAAAAGGAGAAACAAATGGGATATCACAGCAAGAGGTGATATTCCACTCTCGCTGTCAAGTCTGGAACCGGACGTAAGCAAGCTTGCTCAAGGTCACCAGGCTCAAGACTCGCATTAACTTCTCGGAAAACATAATGTTACGAAGTTACTACATTTCCAAATCCATTGAATGCCTTATAGTTAAAAGCCAACAATGAGTGAATATAATTTTAAACACTAATGATGACTTGTGTAATTAAAGCAAGTGCTTGATGTTGCCGCACAATGAATAATGTCTTAAAACAGTAAAAGTTAAAAACTGGGGTTTATAAGGGAAAAAGCAGTGATACTAACACTATAAGCTTAGACATCATAAAAAATATCAATATGGACACTGCAAATCACAGATTCGCGCCCCTTAGGAGCTGCGAAGTGCTGAAGTTGTGGCGATCAAGTGTGCAGGGCCAAAGGAAATGGAAAGGTTCAAAATGGGGTCACGGTTGATTAAAGGTTGAGAATGATTGGTATAGAAAAACGGACAGCACCATCGACTCGGATACCAGCAGTTTCGTCCCGACAGTGAGCTGGTGATTGTTCCACACACGTCTTTCCAGATTTCCAAATGCGGCGGCTGCCTTCAATACACGGACGCGCAGCTCGCTCGTCATCTGCCATTACGCTCCCAAGATATGAAAATTTCGATGCTGTCTCCAACGTATCATCAGCAACCTAGATATGAGGCACGCTTACGACTACATCTCTGTTGAAACTTGAAAAAGACAAACACTCTTGCTTCTGTTGGTTCGGCTCGAATTTGGATACTGTCGAAGCGAGAACCGAAGCCATGTGTTGCAACTCATCCGCGTTGTGTGCAAACAACGCACAGTCGTCGGCAAACAGAAACTTACGAACGGTTGTCTCACACTAGGGTTCCCGCCACGATACGACCGACGTTCAGCCAACTACCCACAGTACGGTGCTCAGCACGATCACCAAAGGCATAAGAAGCATCAAAAGTACAGTACATTGTTTTTGGAGGTAAATACTAAACAGGGCAGGAGATAAGACACTGCCTTGTTTCACACCAGCGACTATAGCAGAATCATCCGAGGTTTGTCCATTCACGTGCACCCTCGCCCTCATACCACTGTGTAGACATTTAATTAAACGTACCAGCTTACTCGGGCAACCAAACTTAAATAACACCAGTCACAATGCTTCGCGGTTCACCATGTCACATGCAGTGGGGTCAAGAAACCCCGAGTACAAAGGTTGGTGTCGCATTCGGTATTTCTCTTGCAACTGACGAGTCGCGAACACCTATGATGGTGCGGCCTGAACGGAATTCACATTGATGCCCCGCCACACTCGGTTCAACGACCTGAATGACGAGACGGTTGAGCAGGATTCGGGAGATCACTTTGCCTACACAACTCAACAAGTTGATACCACAATATTTCGTGCCCTTGAACCGTGGTAGCACAAGGGCATCCCTCAGCTCGTCCGGCACTTTATCTTCCATTCACATGTGGTGCATCAAGTGGTGTAGCGTATGTAAGCACGCGTGCCCGCCGTGTTTCAACACTTCAGGCGGGATCCCGTCGGCTCCGCCGCACTTACCGTTTCGCAGCCGAACAAATGCTCTCTGCGTCTCATCTAGTGTGAGTGAGTCGGCAAGACATATCTTCATCGTTTGTTGTTGCAGCCCGTGCAACATCGCTCAATCTCCGAATGGTTGTTCAAGAGACAATCAAAGTCCTTTCGCCAGATCTGCATTACGTTAGCAGCCTGTGTGCAGGCAGAGCCTGAAGTACCATCGAGTAGCGCCCTCAGCGGTTGCAACGTGGGAACATGCACCGCCTCCAATGGATCGAAAAATCCTTATGTTGGCGGCGTTCGGCGTCGCTTTCCATCTTCTTCGCCTTCTCTGTCCACCATGCATTTTGGATGCGACGGAGCTTTCGAGTCAATCGCCCTCGAAATTCGCAAAATGACTCTACTTCCGTGCATTCTTCTTCGACACCAATGTGTCAATGGTCGCACTGATGTCATCAAACCAATCGGACGGCTTATAGTTTGAGAGAACAATCGTTTGCTGGCGGCAACCGTCACCCGTTCACAGATGTGGCGCCTCAGGTCACTCACTGAGGTGATGGATTCGACATCGCCAAGGCGAGTAGCCATAGCCTTTTCCAGCTCCATCCCGTTCTCAATAGTAATTAGGAAACGAACATGAAATTTTCGCCGATTCAAGAAAAGTGAGCAATACATGGCTTTACGAAAATATATGTACAATTTGGTCGGCACGAACTCGCGATCAGTGCCACGCTTAGTGTTACGTATCAGGCGTACTTTATGCGTGTCACACTGGCCTACGATGACATAATCGAGTGAATAAGCGTGACCACTCCGTGGGTGCGTCCAAGTTGCTATATCACTCGCATCCAGTGAAAAGTGTGTGTTCGTGATCGTCAGGCTGTCAGTGGCGAACAGTGAGAGTAGCCAATCACCGTTCCCATTGGCTGTACCAACAAATTACGGAACGATTGCGTCTGTCCACAACGCGGTATCTCGCCCGACTCACGCGTTGAAATCACCCAGGGATAATAGCTGGTCGCTCCTCGGTACAGACCATACCACTGAGGATAACTAAGTGTAAAACCGGTCCGTTGTGTCTTCAGGATAGAACGAAACACTTTCATACGTCTTGCAGTCTTGTGCAGTAACCCACGACGCTTACTGTAACAGGCGAGACGATATCGTGAAGCAACTAACCAACACCCTTCGTCGCAAATGAGGCCAAATCATCCCGGAGCCATGCATCCCAGGTGCATCAACATACATCAAGCAGGATTTGATTGCCGTCAAGAACTCCACAGCCCACGTAATGGACTTGGCAATATGGAAAAGCTACAGAACGACCCCTAACTACCAATAAAAATTGACAAATACGGTGTAGTTGTTAATGCGGAAGCCATAGCCATTTGACTGATAAACAGTTGGTAATGTCACAGCACATGGACAGCAGCTAAAATAGATGGGAGAAAAGGCAGTAGGGGAAAAGAGTGTCACAAGAAGTTCGGCACTGGGTATGGTTTTGGGCCATTTTCGATATCGTTTTCAATCAGGTGTGCTCACTGCCTTTGGGCCCCTAATCAGGGAGTCTGGAACGCCACATTGTGGACAATTGCAATGTCAGCACCTTGACAGCTCGAAGCCATGTTATGTGGTGGCCACCTTCTTGTCGTTTCGATCAACGCCGGCACATAAAAGAAGGGTATGGCGGGGCAACTGTTAAGCAGGTATATGGAGTTCGTGATAGAGTCAGCGAAGCGCACACAAGGAAGGTATTCAGCTCAGTGGTTCGCTGAGATTGTGGGGCCTGAGGATCCTATTTCGAAGGCCGTCGTTGCTAATGCAATGTTGACAACGTACACCAGTGATGCTACGGAGGTAGCGATGATCAAAAACAGATAGGCTCTGGACGTCGCTCACTCGAACTGGCCGGGTCTAGTAGCCATACAGGAGCACTGTTCGTACCGTACCGCTGTAGGCTCGACCTTTAAGTGAAAGACTGGAATTGGGTCGTGTAATCTCAGCTGGTTTCAGAGATTTGCAATTCAACAACATATCACCAAATGAAGTGAATAGGATGGCAATTGCGAACAATGTGACAGGCCACTGTTGAGATCAAGAAAAGTAAACAAGAGAGTACTGAAAAGGAGATGAATGATCTGCACAAGTACACGATGGCGAGAAAGCGGCAGCGGTACGGAACGCCGGAACGAAAGGTCGAGTCTGGTCAAGAAGAAAGACTGGATAGTTGGCGGCTACACGCATTAAGTCGATGGTCAGAGTTCATTCGACAACCGAGTGAAAGCATTCATCAACGTAGTGAACGGGATTGCTGAATGCTGCTCATTGATCTGCAACAAGTTCAGCGGTTGAATATGTCCGTTGGTGAAGCCGTGAAAACATGAGGGTTGACAGATACACAATAAGGTGAGACGTCTCAAGCTTGAAAAAATACAAAGGGTAAACAATGAAATTAACCTATACACAAAAGAACAAGGGAGTCGTAGTATGATCGCAAAGACAGTATAAGCATAGGAGCAGACACAGGAGAATACGTACCACAGAACCCATTTTTACTTCTGTTTTTAGTGCTCAGCAGCCAATTTTCCGTCACGCTGGCAAACTGAGTGGATGTGAATATGTGTAGAATCGCCATGGCTCTTTGTAACAGGCTGATTGCGCGTTCCTGAGAGTTCTGGTAACAACAACAAGAGAGTTAAAGTGGCAGTGAATGTTAGGTTGAGAAATAAGAGACGCATTGTTCAGCAGCATTCCCAAGCCTATTTACTTCCGGTTCCCCTTCCATCTCATCATGGCTATTAGCATTAAAAGCAGTAAATTAGTGTTTTGTGGCGACGCTTTCATGTCAGACAACCCGAACAGTCAAACGCAAGTTGAAGAAGCAGCTGGTATACAATCTAAACGCTTCCTATGAGTGTTCAGAGTCAAAACACCATCAGACAAAGCAGTTAGGGGACAAAGATGGACGTCTAGTGCCATGAACAAATCTCGTTCTGCAAGACATAGAGCAGCATTTAATAGCAAAATCGCTAAGCTGTCACAAAGATGAACGCAACAATAGCAACCATATGATTGGCGGCATCCGGTTTCGGATTTGCCTGTCACTGTGGCCAGCCACAGGACGCCTGCACCTACAGAGGGGCCATGGAAGGCTTGCACTGCACCACCCACACACCCATTTCCAGGGTAAACCCGAAGGAATAAGACCGAGAGGCATGCGGATGGGAACCACGTTTCATAAACGGAGCCGGCCCATACTCCTTCACAGGGAAACACAAGCACGCTGTATCTGGGACTCAAGCGCACACAAGGCGGTGGCTGGACCGTAGTCGGCTCCACACTAAGTGAATGGAACCACATTTTGATCCTAACAGCCACAAGAACCGTGCACCCCGTCCCCTCCAGCAACGACCGTCTCCTAGAGCCAGTATGGGCGAGGTAGTGGGTAATAGACAGGTAGGCACATTGTCAACATGCACATCAAGCGCAACCACACCGGAGATATCAAGCAACAGCCAAACACTTGAAAGAATATTTGCAAAAAAGTATATCTGTTGAAACATGCGGCTATACAGACATAACTCTTCGCTATATTAGCATATGACGTAAGTTGGTTATTAACGAATAAGCGACAAGTACAAAATGTCCACAAGTTACTAGAAATATGCTACAAACGCAATAAAATTAATGAAGATAAGCGCAATTAGCGTAAGCAAGGTGTGCAAGTTAATAGGAGATTATTCAGGTTGTCAGAACAAATCGATTAAAGTGGAATGAAATTTATCTAGCCTAAAAAGACCAAGTTTAAGTGTAAGTTGGTTTAGCCCAACTGCGGTGAAGAAGCATCATAAATGCAACGTGGGCCTCAGTGGCAACTCTCTCGCTCTCTCCCTATATATATATATATATATATATATATATATATATATATATATATATATATATCTTCAAACAAACATAGAACCGAACAAAACAATGGAAAGCAGCGGATGACGCGTCTAGTCGCCGAACAACCTCCTCGTGGTGCCAGCTGGGTGTTATGGGTTTAGCCCGTTCCAACGAATGGTTCGGCGGCAGTGTTCCAGGACGTGGTGGGGGGTTTCGGCCTGGCAAGCGTGTTCCCTATAAAAAGCCATAAATGTCGGTTTGACAACACTGCGACGTGGAGAATGTGACTAGCCACTAACTAAAGTCAACCCTTCGTACGGATCAGGATGATCTAACCCAATCCCCGGACGTCAGTCATTCAATACGAAGACTTACTTTCATGTACTCACATGCTGACGAGCCGACCAAAAACAATCACAAATACAGCGTCACATTTAGAAATTCAAGCAACACAGCCACACACATTCATAAATACACCCTTTCATATACACTTATCACACAGATAAATATGCTACTGATAAACTTGCACTGTCATACACATTTAACGGCCCTTAGTGTTTGTACCACCATGATCATTCCTATGCAAGCGCGTGTTACATTGTCCAGAATAAAACATTTGTTTAGTTATTATGACACATTAATTGTACGTGAACCACACACTTCAGCTATTGTGCCGCAAAAAGAACGAAAACTTTTTTACTATTCTTTCGCATGCCATTTCGGTTTTTATCTTTTTTCAATTGCTAGGCATTAAGCATCTGAATCCGAACAAGTAGGCACAGAGATCATCCAATGGTTTCGATTGCGCGCCATATCCTGAATTGTTTCTAGCCATCGGCACTTGTTGTCCTTAGGTCTCCAACGAGGCATGCGTGTAGCAACGATAGGAGTTTGTGTTTCAGAATTCGCAATCTCTTTCCCCGTGTAGTGTGTATCCTGGGTCAATATTTGAGAAGCAGGGGCGATGGACATCCAATAAGCTGCCAGGCGACCGTATCCCCAATTAGCTGTGGCAGAAAGGTGCCCAGAGAGGATTCTGAAGACCATAGGAATCAGTAGCTCGCAAATGGCATGATACGGGAGGAATTGTCAAACTGAAACGATGTATCATCAGGTTGAGAGGAAAGAACTAAGCGATTGCTATAGATATGCAGGGATAATGGGCATTAAAAAAAGAACTTAACATAGACACAGAGGTCACTGTGGACTTTAAAACACGATATTTGCATTTTTGATAACAGACAAATGACTGGTGTGAGTGTTCACAGAATGCAACAGCAAAACGTTTTTACCTTACTGCGAGACGGTAAGGTCCGCCTACTTGATGTGGATCCTTCCGAGGCCTATGAGTCAGATAGAAGAAACAGTAGGTTAACATGATGTGATGACGCTCAGCAAGCGGACAAAGCAACTTAACCCGCATCCCGCATGAAAAAAAACGGCAAGAGGTCGAGGTAAATACACCCGCACCCACAAGCATGCGTGCGAGAAGCAGAGGAGTAAGATGCGGGTATGACTGTAAACTAAAAATGATGAAGATAAAGAAAAGGTAAACAAGATGGCATGAGCCACACCCGCAGATGGTGGTGGTGGTGGCAGTGGTAGAACACGAAAGTGGAGGACTACAACGACAAAGCAAAATGAACTGAAACCCAGTCGCATTTAGCGGTCGATTCAATGACAACCACATCCATATAGAGCAGGAAACAACAATGAGACACGGCAAGCTAGCGATCACAAGTAGGATCCGGGATAGCTCACTTCATCGGTCCCTGTGTAGACACAACGGAAAATGACAGTGACAACAACGATACTCTGAGAAATCATAAGGTCCGTTGGGATAAGATACCTCGACACAATCATTTGCGTTTACGGACTGCAAACGACGTGAGTGGCCAAAATGAAAGCCGGTGGGAGCAGGTCCAGTATCAGTGAGCGAGTTGGAACAGTGCGACGCGAGCTGTTCGGCACAGAGCTGAGTGCGCTTGTATTCGGCCAACGCCCGAGCTAGCATGTCACTACAAGCGCCAGAGCCTTTTACGTGGAACAAGAGAGATTTTAATGATTCCAAGATAGGGACACACTGAAGTGAGGTCATGGTAAAGAAAGCAAATTAGTTCAAAATGTGGAGATACCCAATGGTTCTAGAGATCGTTCTATACATCATGATGAATCACAAGAGGGTATAGGCAGTATGGCACTAGCGCCGAACTACCGCAGAGCCATTCAGTAAATACAAAAACAGTAGAATGTTAGGATCCGGTACAGAACAAAACAAGAGATCGGAGTCAAAACGGTGAAAGTCGAGAAAGCCAAACTCATGAAGAGCAGAGGGGACGTGAAAGCGCTAAAGATAAACTGCCTTCAGATTTGCTGCATATGCATCAGTAGGCAAATTAACGCCCATCCAGTGAGGTATGGGAAGCAGAAACATAGACGGTAATGGCAGACCCTGCTCAAATCATCTAGTCTTGCGCCCAGTCGCTCGTCTAGCACTATCGTAGGTATGTCCGAAGCTCTATGGCAATAGGCTCGAAACTTCGATAAAAACACGGCTGCGTCACAAGAAGCGTATGATTCAACTAGCGCGGTAACAGCTCCATGGTAGAAAATGTTCTCCATCGTGCACATACGCATCTTCCCATTGGGAGGTCAATGGGGAGACACACAAAAACCGTCTCACAGTGCACGGTAACAAAAGGCGGGTAAGATATAACATATCGCGGCAGCGGCAAAAAGGTAGAGAACGAGAATGTAAACAGCATAAATGGTGAAATAAATCCATACCGTTATAAAGCACCGCGTAAAAGCTACGCCTTGCAAGGTTGCAACATGCATTAAGGGGAAAAGCGGTGAGATTCGTTTCGTGGAGAATGTAGTCAAAATCTCACAGTTGAGGTCAATGGGAATTGTGACGCGAAAAGCAACCTCGAGCACAAATAGGAGAGTGGTGAGTCAAAATTGAAGAACAAATAGCAGGGTCCTTTCAATGGTCCTGTAAAGAGAAAAGTGAAGAGCCGCAGTTATACCAGAGCATAACGAATCCTGGTGGTCTCATCGTGTGTCAGAGATGGAAGTGACCGATACCCATGGTAACCGTCGGAAGTAATTTTGTGTGATATGGGAAAAGGGCAGCAGGAGATATTCTGTTAGTGAAACTATGTGACAAGAGTGGACAGCCTATCCACAACTTGTCAAAATGTTTGGGGCGCTGGGCTGAACATTTTGAAAAGCAATTTAATCGACCGGAATTGTTAGATTCCTCACCGGCCAGTGATCGTCCTGTTCCTTTGGATCCACCGTCCCCCCCCCCGGAAATCGTATGTGGGATCGGAATGCTGAAGTTGAAAAAGGCCGCGCGGCCGGATGATCTATATCCAGCCCACTTCAAATTCAGAGAACCTGCTCTTGCTGCGGAGTTACATGAATTACTGGTGAAACTGTGGGAGCGGGGAACTGTCCCCACCGACTGCAGTCAGTCCGTTATTGTCCCGATCTTCAAGGGAGGCTCACGTAAGGAATGTGGCAACTATAGAGGAATCAGTTTGCTATCCACCCCCCAAGTTACTTGCTTCTGTTATCCTTCAAAGACTGACTAGCACTCGTGGGAGCCAGATTCGTGAGGAGTAAGCCGAGTTTGTCGAGATCGGGGATGCATAGACAACATACATTGCATCAATGGTTGGAGTACCGTCACATATATTGGCAGCAACCGTTCTCGTGTTCCTCGACATCAACGGTGTCTTCGATTCGGTTGATCGATGTGCGCTTTGGGATTGTGTGCTAAGGAAAAGTGTGACCGAAAAAATATGTTAACATTATCCGAGCGCTATACGCGCATAGCTCGGGCAGAGTGAGGGGTTACGGCAAGTTGTCGCCGCACTTCACTATCTCCATCGGTGTGAGATAAAGATGTTCGCTATCGCTTTTCCTCTCCAACTTCGCTATTGACGAAGTAATGAAAATCACGTTCAATGAACACGACGATGGTGTGAAGCTGCTCCCTTATGAATGACTTCTTGTCTCGGATTATGCTGTAGTTATTGTTCTCATCTGGGACAGCTCAAAAACATGCCAAGCTGCACCGGACAGATTAGCACTGGCTGTTAGCCGCTTCGGGCTTTGCTTCGTACCCTCGAAGTGCAAAGCTTTCATCCAAGATTGGCATGGACTGCCTCCTGCGCTGACCGTCGGTGGACATCAGCTAGAAATAGTTCGAAAATTCAACTACCAGTTGTATAGGTGCCGGTGGAATTGAAGACGAGGTCGCCAACCGTATAGCAAAAGCACGAGGCGCTTTTGCTAACCTTCGCCACCTGTGGCGCAGGCGCGACATCACCCTCTCCTTGAAGGGTAGAGGTAACAACTCAGCCGTACGTTCAACCCTATGCTGCGGTTGTGAAACCTTGACTATTAGATCGACAGACATAAAGAGGCTAGCTACGTTCGAACAACGGTGCCTTCGCAGTTTGGCTCATATCTGATGGGAACACTGAGTGAACAACGAGGGCATTCGCGGCCTTGTTTATGGCACAGGAAGTGAACCGCTCAGCACCGTTATATCACGCACCAGGCTTCGATGGCTGGGCTACGTGCTGCGTATGCCAGCACACCGACTCCTGCGACGTACGTTGTTTGCGCGCCGGGGGTGTGGAGGGGTGGCCAAGTGATGACTTGGTCAAGAGGAATGATGGCCCTTAGTTTGAAGTTGGCCTCGGCTCCTTGGTTTGAGTCCGAAAGTCGGTGAACACGCCCTGTTGGAAAAACTAGATGCCATGGCTAGAAGGCGACCACAGTGGCGTGTGTTGTGAGTTTCTTTGTCTCTCCACCTCCAAGCACGATTTCATTTCGCACGCATAATATATCCACTTAATGTGGCCCAACAGCCAGATGCAAGCTCTCCGGAGCGTAGCTTATCCGTTACTGGTGGCTCAGCCGGCGTGCCCGTTGCATGTTTTTTTATTTTATTACCTAATGCGGCCCAATAGCTGAAGTGTTTCCAACCTCCAGCTAAAGTGGACAAATTGTCTTTTTATGTGTCGAAGAGGTGAAATCTAGCTTGCAGTACGATCTGTGGAGCAATGAACATACTGATATCGCATAATCAATAGTTAGTGACATCCAGTGATTAATCAAGCGTAATTCCTAAATAGGGTAGATGACGATATGTTCAATACGTGTCCTGTACAGCGATTTAAGTCGAAGATAAGGCGGTGAAGGAAACGAATTGTATCCTACGACGCAGGCGAAATATTTTCTGGGGTTGGAAGTTCAATACTGCTGATGGGATAATGGAGATGGATCACGCTGAGATGTTGAGACGGGTCACACAGGCCGAGCCAATCACAGGGATGAAATAGGCGGTGGAGATAAGATGGTTGATAAAACGCTTTGTCTAACACGTAACACAGGTGAGCAGAAGCTGGTGGGCAACAAAATACGAAACACAGGAGTGCAACAAGGAAACCATCGAATTAGCATCACCAGGATCAGACATTAAGGATGGTAGGGAACGGTCACTACCTCGCAATTTTGATGGCAACTGACTGAACAAGTACGATGGCGACCAACGTGCACAGACGATGAAATGGACTCAAGTGACTTGTCTGGTGGAATGGCATGTGAATGAAGAAGGAGAACAAGTGGATACACATTTCCATATCGGCAAATGTGCCAGACATGATAACAAAAAAATGAAGAAACCATCAAAATAGTGAGAGAGCACGGAACACACCAATATGCTAATTGTTTACTTTCCGACAACCGTTATTAAAGATAATATGTAATACACAAAAGCATAAGTTTGAAATGTGTGGGCCCAACAATAGATCCAATGGTTCTGCACGAAATCCACCGACAGGACACGAAGCGATGCCATCATTGTTAGTCAAGGAGACGGTATTTTTTCGACGAAACACTACAGTTTGCTTGAAAAAGCCAGCTCAAGATTTCCAAGTATAACATCGGGCTTTTATTACATAGTTCGTCCTTGGTTCTGCTCTCTAAGTTTCATATTTAAACAATCGTTAAAATAGGCTGAGAAGTGACTTGATCCGTAGAATGCAGTTGGTAAACAGGATAACCGATGGGTTGTTGTAAAGGAGGAACTGCCCATAAATGTACACACCAGAATGAATACAATGCAAACGTCCGACGAGGCATACGTTACACGATTTCCCTACAGGGGTGCGCAAGAACACGATGTTGTGGGGGAGGTCGTTTAAAGCTATAATGGGGCAGCTCACCGTGTAAGAAGTCAATAAATCGCTCCAAATCGATGACCTGTGTCTTCAGTTGCTCAACAAGCCTCTCGTTCAGCTTCAACGGGTCCATAAACTGAGAAAGGTGAAAAGGAAACATGAGCAGTGATATGACGGACGTGTTGCAGTTTGTTCAAAGTAAAAGTGTATGAATAGTTGTAATGCAAAAACGTAGACTCGTTCGCTCTACGCGAGTTGAGAGATAACATGCAGACTCGGCTCAATGAGGATCCATCAATGGTCGTAACCGCTTTCAAATACTATGTAGCGCGTCGGTGTCGCAGAAGTGAGTCAACAAGTAAGTTGTCGTCGAGCGTAGCCTGTATCGTGATCGTCGTTTTCTCTTCTCTTTACTTTCCCATTTCGTTTTCGATGTTGTTGGATTAGCCCCTTGTCATGCGTATTTTCACACCATCCATCTAGTCGCCTCGTGCTCGGTCCTCTGTCGACAGCTATGATAGTCCCGCCCAGCTAGTCACGAGATGTTACACAAGCACACCGTTCATCTAGCTCCGACACTTACTAGGTGGTTGTCAAGCCGCCTGCGAAGTATCGCTTTTGCCCATCAGTCCCCTCGGTCTATTACGACCCACGTAGGCCCCTGACACGGAAGCCCTCGGAACCCACAACCGGACGCATATTACACTATTCACCTACACGTAATTAAAATGAGTGTAAAGATTGTGGACACCGATTATGGCTAAAAACGGAAAGCCAATGATGAAACACGAGGCAAAACAAGTACTGACTGAAAAGGCAGCTGCCAATGGAAGCAAAATGCGGTCTGAATCGGGATTTCATATCGCAACTCGAAATACATAGGGCAATTAAGTATGCTAAGACCTGGGATCCCAGAAGCCTACATGTGAGTGAATGGACAAGTAAGGTCAAGGGCACAAAAGATAGTGAAAGATGAAAAGCCAAGAACAATTATGGCTGCAGAAAGTTGAAGATCGGAGAGAAACTAGCTAGGTCGTGCATATGAGCGCTAAAATATCAATGCCAAAGAAAGTGGACACTTCTATTGGCCGGTAGCAGACCCTGGTTGTGTTTGAGTCGTGAAAAACGAAGAGAAACGACGGTCCATATTCTCCATCCCTAATTTCCAATCTCGGGCTTGTTAGCAGCAACAACAAAAACATAGTAAAATAGGTGGTTGAAATTTTACACGTGTCCGGTCAATATGCACGGATGAGTAACGCAATACAGATGGATTTGGCCAAGACTCATGGTAAACCTAACAACAGGGAACCCGAGTGAGGAGCTGATCATAAGTGCGAAGTACAACTAGTGGAAAAGATATGCGGTATATTAGGCTTACACTAACATATCTCATAGTTCATCAAATCTGGCTGCTGCATGTGTATAGACATCACCTGTAACAAGTACAGCAAAATGGTTTCAACAAGTTCCATACCGAACAGTTGCGTGCTGTATAGTGGTGCTGATTACAGGCGACAAGCATGGGAATGTTTTAGCGGGGTGTAGTCGGACATCCGCACAGTTATGATGAATGACTTAATATACCTTTGCAAGAAGTTGAGAAACCATCTGTACTGACCGTCCTAATTGGTACTTAAGTCAGGTGCGAATCATTTTGTTATTCGCCTTCGAAGGGCAGTTCACAATAGGTGATATGATTATATCTGAAAAACAGTTAGTACCTGGCTATAGTGACACATCACACCGCATTAACCTTCTATTACACAGTACGAGTGCCGTACGGCGTAGACGGTAACGTCATGATGAATGCCCACGTGACTGTTACAATAGATCCCAGGTCCGTGTGATAGCAAAAAACATGCTATGAGAATTACGAATGTCAGCAGACAGGCAGTTTGACAGGATGAATAAGTCATTATGCAACGTGGTAAAGGTTCACTGAAACTCCAGGTGAGATTGTGTATCACAATCTAAACAGATGGCAGGTACTGCAGGAACCAACTGCAAGAATCAACTTAAGTGTTAATCGCGGAGATCTCGTCAACTGCCAAGGTGCAAGCCATCAACCACTTTGTTCCGGGTTCCCTGCTCACCTCAGGCTATCTCAAAGTGAAGAGCCCAAAGCAGGATAAAACCGATCAGTCGTGGAGTGCAGGGCTGGGAAAGAGCAACGCTGACACTTTCCAATTTGACACTGTTCATGACGTCCGTTGACCAAATGAGGGCCCCAAAGCCGAACTATGTAACACCGGTGGTTAAGCAGTAAACAACCCAGTATTGTGAGATCGGTTTGTGACATAGTGATATAGAGAGATAAGCCGAACTCCCTGCCAATGGATTGCGACGCGCAACCTTAATGTAGACCGCGATTCCCATGGAAGCGAAGATTTGTCAGTTTGATCACTGAGATCATAACTATTGAAGTAGATAAATGCCTCCTTCAAAACAATGCACTCCACGACAGATTTCGAAGTTATTTGATCTCGTCAGGTGAAAATATCAGGCATCGAACCCGGGGCCATTGTGATGTTCGCTGCAACCACTGCGCCGAGAGCAAGCAAGTTATGACGGACAACGCTTGCCATCTGCTTCATCATCTACGGTACCACTGATCGAGAATTGACTACGAATCGCGTAGACATTCAGATTGCGCGTCGCAATCCATTCGTACAACGATTGTTGGAGAATGTTCATTCAACCAGTCATAAACCGCTGTGACAAGCGCTGCTCGTCGTGACTTGGTGGCTTCGGAGTAGCGGTTTCGGCCAACATACCGGTGGTCTCCGTTTCCATAACCACTATCTCTATCTGACGCGATCGAAACGCGTCGTGGTGTGCAGTGTTATCGAGGCGGGTAACATCCAATACGCTAAAGCATGTTCATCGCGTGTCCTCCAACATGCTGTTTAGCGAAATGTCACATAGGCCGGAGACGTATCTAATCACAAATGCGATGACTTGATAGAGAAGTAAAAAGGAAATGATAGTGAGAATGAGCCGAGCGGCAGCATATTAGCTTGTTCAGGAGCGATTATAGGAGTTGTAGAATTTATACTTAAAAAGCTAAGTTGAGACAATGCGCTTTAGAAGTCACGGACGGTAGTGCGTTCACCCTGTTACCTTGGCTTGGAAGTTTGAAATCATAATTTTTAAACTCCTTTAATTTTCACCATTAGCGCTTGTCACTGATGACTGTAATTATTATCGGATTCGTTGTAATCTGCTTCGTTACCGTTAATTCTTCACGCTGTGGCGGTGTGAGGCGAGAAATTGAACAGACGAGCTGAATTAAACCGATCGGCTTCAAAGAGGATCAGGTTTGTCGAACATACTGCAAAGAAAAGTTGCTGTGACAATAGAAATATAAAGAAAAGGGGCAGAAGTGCAACCTCAAAGATTCATCAAAATGGTAAATAATACGCCTAAACAAGTTATGGAAGACAAAATCTGAGTATATGGCAGACAGCCATCAGATTTATGATACTAAGTTTATCAATTTGAGCCGACACCTGACTAGCCATATATGCCGGAGAGAGTCTGATAAGAATTTCTATACACATGGAGTGACCAGCGGCATCGTGACACTTACATACACCGTTTTTCCACCACTAAGTGAAATAGCTGCTACGGTCAAGGGCGGAATCGATGGGCTAAATTGGCACCAAAGTGAAAAGAAGGCAACTGGCCAAAGGGCCTAACAAGTGATCTCCGGAATTGTAAGGGATCTTAAAGCTTCTAGAAAGTTGCTTTGTGGCCTCTCGTTGGGCGATACAACTCAAGTAGTCCTACAGAAGGCAAAGCCAATGTATTGAACAAATTGTGACCAGCTTGGAACTTGGGAGTCTACTAGCGAACGTAATCAGGAGACACAAGACAATGCCATCTGTTCTTCAACCACTGGAACGAGGTTCGGTGAATATGTAGTAGACATTTTACTTATCGAACTCGCCCGATAGTTCCAGGTTATTCTGAACGAACCGGACATTCTCACAGAAATACGAAGGAGTGCATTCTTAAAAAAGGTTCCAGAATAGAACACCAATGTAGGCCTTTCCCGAACGATGCAATGTAGGAAGTCTGGTGCGTAAAGCGGAACCTTTCAGTGTACAAGTATCAAACAAACATCGGGCAAAGTCCGAATGGGCGAATGTACGGCTTATGTTGATTGCCTCTGTTGACTCGCTGGCGCATGTCGTCGTCATACGTTTGAAGTTGGCTTGGAATCAGTGGTGGTACTTCGTATCGATCAGACAACATACGCTCCAGACGAATCACCTCACCTCCAATTCTGATTGTGTTGCAAACACCTTCATCAGAACTGTCTATTGTTGTTCGCACCACGGCGCCACGTACATCAATAACCCACACACAATATCGGGTCATCCAATCTTGGTTGTGGAAGAACGATGACGACTCCTTGACTGGATAAGACTCAGAAGCAACTCTAGTCAGAAACATCATCGGATAAGAGCGAGAGGCGCAATCAATCGCGGACATACCATGAGACGCTCTTCCCAGCCTAAGGTTCCACTTTACCTGTACATTCGGTTGATAACTTAGTCACGACGGTCACTACCGTCCCCGGTAGCTCAGTGGTCTTAGCCATAGACAGGCGACAATCGAGTTGCGGGTTTGAGCCGCACAAAGGTTAGAAGGAATGTGCAGTGCTGACGATTTCCGAAGGGATGAAACGGTCGTACAGTGCATTTCCGGGCGTGTGATATTTGTCTGATTGAGTATAGATGAGATAAATCTCTACTTATAACACCCATATGTCTCGGTCTTTCTCTAATTAATTAAAAGAATCATATTCACGGTGTACTGACTTAAGTTGTAGACATCTCAGTATGCTAGCTTCACAGAGGACAGTATTTCCGTGGGAAGCGAACACTTTATTCTGGTTACTGCATTACTGCGACTGCACTCTGTCGCGGCTGATTGGCGTAGCATGCTGCACAATTCTTATCAACTACTGTAACACATCCTGCATTGCACGGTACGATAGAAGGCGGGATTTCGTGTGCAACATAAAGATGAAGATGAACATCGCTCTATGACCAGACGGACACCGCAAATGCAAACAGATGAGACGTGTGAAGTTGTAGACCAAAGGCGCCAGGCACAGGAAAAGTC